TGAAAGAATCCGCTGGTGGGATGAAGTCCCTCTCCTCCCGGAGATCGGATAGGCAGGAGCCTGCATTTCAGCATACTTATGCACTCTTAAATTGCGACGTGCATGATCGCACCAATTGATTTTCGCATTTCTGCCGGCGCGAGCCGCGTGAGCGCGATCTCAAAGTGCCACGAGGCGCCTTTCGCTGGGGTGCGCTTCAGCTATAGGGTATGAGCACGGCGGCACCCAACAATGAGACGACGACAAGACAGCTGACATTTATTCGTGCGATCATTTCAGAACGTAGCACAGGAAGCGATGAGTGTATGGTACATTTACATATATACGAAGCGGAACACGACACGACGGGCAAGGGAACCACCACAAGGCGACGCGTGCGCTCAGTCATTCAATCGTGGTCGTGTCGACCTACACATTGCCTGATATGGCCGGTCAGCGCGGAGTGTGCCAATAGGTAGGAGAGCTGGCTCACTGCGGCGGTCGTGTGTGTGGTCGGACGCGTCGGCGTACTCTTCGTCGCGGCGTTCGTACTTGGAAACGGTCTTGTCAGTGTACCCTTCGTCGCGGCGTTCGTACTTGGAAACGGTCTTGTCGGTGTACCCTTTGTCGCGGCGGTCGTACGCGGGATGGAAGTTGTCGGCGTATGCGCCGGCTGGGGCGAGAGGCATGTCAGCGAGGATGCGAATGCGAACAGAGCGACAAGATAGAGGTCAAACCATTTTGACCGTAATTGGCATCTGTGTAGTCCATAGGAGTGTGGTCGTATGAGCAACGTGCGCAAGGGGGTGCTCGAGTACTCACCGATGCCGTCGGCTAAGAGGTCCTTCTCGTATGCGGAGGAGCGGGAGTCTACGAAGGCTGTATGGTTAGCGACAGGGTATGGGGAAGAGGGTGAAACTGACGCGCGGCGGGGACGGCGAGGGCGATGAGGGGTAAGAGGGCAGCGAAGACGAGAGAGAGACGCATGGTGGGCGAAGAGGTAGGGTCCGGGAGGATGCTGGGGGATTGGGAGGAGAGACGGGACGGCTTTTATATGTCGGGGGACAAGGCACAGATACCGGGGTGTGTGCCGCTCTGCACTCCATCGACCCTCGCTGGGAGGTGCATTAGTGGAACTTGGTCGTGACTCCAATAGGCGAGAGTTGGCAGTAATATCTGATCTCGTGACCGCGTGCATGCGCGTCGCAAGAAGCCTTATGGAAGGGCGAGATCTCAGCCACTCTAACGCAACTTCATGAAAGAACCGAGTGCAGGGTCCATCCAAGTACGGAAAGTGGACACATTGTGCTATCTGCACCTGCACGACAAATGTCCTCTTCTTCAGCTCGGGGTCAGCCCACCCAACAGCCCACCCTCGCAGCATGTCTCCCCCATCCCAACGGTACTCCCCCATCGCTCAAGACGACCCCCATGGCTCCTCCGAGAAGCTCCTCGTCCAGCCCGCAGACGTGGAAGTAGTTGATAACGACGTCTGTCCGTGCGGCCACCACCGTACTTCAGCCTGGCGTCGCTCCTGGCTCTGGCTGCTCGTCGCCCTCCTCCTCTTCCTCAACATTGCCGGTCTCATCACGTTTCTCCTTCGCCCCAGATGCACCAATGGAGATGACCTCCTCAACGCTCACTGTGCGTTCTCCTGCCCATTCGTATATCCTCGCTGACCCGCCTCTCTAGCCCCTGTATATCCCGCCATCGAATACAACGTCGTCCGCTTCAATGGCACCCTCGGAAACCGCTCCCCGTACGTAGGCATCGGCCCCGACGTCGACGCTGCCTGGGCAG